ACTAAAGTATAAGAGGGATCTCGTCAAAACTTGATCTTCATATAAATCATTCATCAAGCAAACACTCGATCCTCTCATTAAACCACATCGAATTTCCTACGCAAAAGAATTCAAATAGAGTTGGAGTAATATGAACTTCACGAGTATCCATCAAATCAGAATTAATTCATTTCTTATATATGCAAAAAAAATCCAATTACATAAAAAAAAAATTCTTCAAGGAGAAATTAAAGAAAGATCTTTAGGTGAATTATGATTCTTAAAAGTGGATTTGGAGTTAGAATCATCTTAAGAAGAAATGACAAACTTAATCTTCATGGATGGATGGAGAAGTTACTACTTCAACGAGAAGTTTTCTTTTCGATGAATTATACGACATGTGATATAGGAAAAGTATTACAGTGTAATCATCGAAAAATGATAAAACTAATTATATTATTATTTTTAATTGAAAGCTACGAATTATTGAATTATATATGTATTAGTTTATAAGACAAATGTATTTTTTTCTTAGGAAAAGTAAATTACCACATTGTTTATAAAATGCAAAACCGATAACATGATGCGATTTTATGGCACGAGTTCTCCATCCAAGTGGTGGAGCTCAAATGTTTTCTTCTTCTTAAGCTCCAAGGCAAATAAATTCAATCATAGCATCTCCATCAACCAAACAAAGTATTACAAAACGTCTAATCAATAAGTTAGGAATAGAAAATTAGAAGTCAATTAGAATAACCATTAGCATATTAAGAGGCAACAGCAAGTGGCTTCTGACTCATACGAGAAGGCCATCACCAGAAGCTAAGCAATATTAAGGAATGATCAAAGTTGTCCTTATCATACTATTAAACTATATATGACGTTTAAGCATGCTTGGGAGCTAAGTATCAATGGAACCTATCTATAAGATAACACATGATGTACTTACAACATATTGTTAGATACCTTGAAGCTACCACATCAGTAAGGACTACAGCGTCCTCTGTGGATATTTTGACCTAGTAATATATATCGATGTTGACTCTGTTGGATATAACGTAGATCGCAAAACCTCAAATGAAATATGCTAATTAATTTCTTATCTTTTCGGTCATCCAACAAACAAAGATGTTTGCTGACTTGTGACACGAACTCTGAAAGGACGTCATGGCGTTGAGGCTTATGTCGCGGAGAGGACGACATGAGACATATATTAGAATAAATAAATGAAATATTAAAAGATGTATGAGTCATTGATTTTTGAAAATCATGATCGACGTGATTCATGGGCTAATTTACATCATTGTTAAGCTAAATTAGAGCCCAAGCTTATAGTAATCATCATACTTAGGTTTAGGTTACAATTGAGTCCATACCAAGCATGTGGCATAACGATGTCTTAGATAGAGGTATCATCAGGTCCAAGCAACGGTACCGTCTAAGTTAATCGATAATACTATTTTGTGTTACTAACAATGACGATAGTAATATCATCTAGAGTGGTGGTAGTATCATCTAAAATTTAAAAATTACGATGTTGGTACCACTAGTGCCTAGAATAGTAACATCAAAAGTTACGACAATAGTATTGTCTAATAGTACCATTCGTATTATAAAATTTTTGAATTCATTTTTGAAGTTTTTAGGATATATAAGCTCGTGAATTAATGTGAGTGTCAGTTTTCATTTTTCATCTTGGAAACTATTATTTTTCATCTTGGGATTAATGTGAGTGTTAAAGTAATCTCATCGAAAACCCTATCCAACCTAATCTTCATGCAAGTCATTCATCAGCGAACAATTGATCCTCCCATTCGGTCACATCAAACTTTCTAAGTAGATAGACTCCAACTAGTTGGAGCAATATGAATTTCATCAATATCCATCTAACCAAAATCAATTCGTAGACAAATACAAAAAAATCCAATTACATAAAATATGAGTGTTTTGAAGAAATTACGAAGAAATTAAAGGAAAATCTTTAAGTGAATTATGATTCTTAAAGTCGATTTGGAGTTAGAATAATCTATAGTGCAATCCTTGGAAAATGATAAAACTAATGATATTATTGTTTTTAATTGACAACTACGAATTATTGAATTATATATATACGTATAAGGTTATAAGACAAATGTATTTTTTTCTTACGAAAAGTTAAATACCACATTGTTTATAAAATGCAAAAACGACAACATGATGCGAAGTTCTCCAAGTGGTGGAGCTCAAATGTTTTCTTCTTCTTAAGCTCCAAGGCAAATAAATTCAATAATAGCATCTCCATCAACCAAACAAAGTATTACAAAACGCCCAATCAATAAGTTAGGAATAGAACATTAGAAGTCAATTAGAATAACCATTAGCATATTAAGAGGCAACAACAAATGGCTTCTGACTCATGAGAAGGCCATCAAGGAATGATCAAAAGCTTTCCTTATCATACTATTAAACGAGATATGACGTTTAGAGCATGCTTGGGAGCTAAATATCTATCGAATCTATCTATGCGATAGCACATGATGTACTTTCAACATGTTGTTTGATAGCTACCACATCAGTCAGGACTGTAGCGTCTTCTGTGCATATTTTGACCTATAATATATATCAATGTTGACTCTGTTGGATATAACGTAGATCACAAAACCTCAAGCGAAATATGCTAATTAGTTTCTTCGTCATATCTCTTATCTTTTCCATCATCTAACAAGCAAAGATGTGTCGACTATGATACAAACTTAGGCATTGTGCCGAGTGTCGATGCGTGCTAAAAGGATGATGCTATGGTCGAAGTTTGAGAGTGAGATATAGCGGGAGGTGAAAGACATGCACGAGGATGGAGTAAGAAAGAAGCTTAACTCTATGGCGATGTTTGATGGCGATTCAAAAAGCTAATGAGTTATATTCAAATTCAATTTAGAGAGCACCTGTGTTTTTTTCATTAATTAATTTTAATTTAAAATCATAATTATTTCAACATATTAGCAATGACTAATATCGAAATTTATCTAAAGCACCCATGTCGAGTATATATTAATTGATATTGAAGATCCAATTTTTAGGATCGAAAGTCTATTAGGTTGATTTAAGTACTCCGCGACACCTGTCAATAGCAAAATTTGATACTAATAATAATTAATTTAGTTATTAATATATGTGATATAAAAAAAACAACACAACTTACAATATTAATATAATTTTTAAAAATTAATATTTATTCGAGTGGTTTTTTTATTTTTGAAACAATTAAAGTGGGAACAAAATATCACCAACCGACGATGTCCGAGGGGGTTTGACCACGAGCGCCGGGGCGGGCGGCACGTGCCGGCCGAGGGGGTCGGCATGGAAGACGGAGCACGTAACTGTGGCTACACGACAGCCTCCACGTGTGCGGACTCCCGTAGCTTGCTTCCGACGCGTGCTCGCTTCTCATGGCTCGTGGGAAACGCCGTCGCCCGTGCCACCATCCGTCCCCGTTACCCGTTAACCGTCCCGTCTTTGCCGTCCCTGTGACCGATATACCCTTCCTTACATCAACAACGTCCTTCTAATAAAACCACCGTCATCGCACGCGCTTATCCAACCATGCTGTCGATATGATCGATCGTGTTAGGCAAATGCCAGCTTTTGTAGATATCCAATCATGTTTCCTAAATTTTTATTCCAAGAAATAGTCAACATCGGGACCCACATAGTTGACAAACTGTCACATCTGACTCCTTTATTTTCTTCCACGAGAAAAATATTATGATATGATTTATTTTCAACAAATATTAAGAAAACAGTCGAATAGATCCCACCGTTGACCCTTCCAGAAAGAGGAAAATTGGCTAAAACACTCTATTTATTTAGTTATGATAAATGAGCGAACCACCTTAAATGATCTGTTAACGTGTTTACCGGTTAAACTAATTAATATTTTAATATATTTTAATATATATATATATATATATAT